GCGTTAACTGTATTATTTATTGCTCAATTTCGCAAATGGGTTTTGTAAACATCGAAGAAACATCTTTTCAGCAACTGGGACTAAAGGAAGACTGATTGGTAAACAAGTAACTAATTGCTCCGCAACCCGAAAGAAAAAAATATCACAACATTAATTGCGAATCCTTTACCATCCAACATTTCTGTATTAACATTTGATACCTTTTCCGAAAATAAATGGTTCTTGGGCTAACAATAAAAGAAAGTGAACCCGAACAGCACTTACGAAATTACAGAATTGCATTGGTTTACTTTTTTTTAACGTTAACTTAATGAATAACTAAAGGTTTATTTATAGCGATAACTTGTCTGTTAAGTGTTTACTCTTTTGTTTTGATTCCCAATCCGATACTAAACGGGAATTAGGTGTCAATTTTCAATTTTCTCAGCTGAAAATTATTAAATTACTGTGAGATGAAAGTAATATCCTAGATTTGAAAAACATTTAGAGCCAAACAATTAGATTTATAAACAATGCTTTATTCTTTACAAGACGTGAACCTTCTAAGCGGAGGTTCATGGATAACTGAAAAAATTGGTTCTCGCCAGTTTAGATTACTTGACTTTATTGAAGTCTGCTTTCTCCAATGTTTGCATGCAATTGTTGACATTACATGCTGGTAAAAGAGGCTAGAAATTTCAATAATGACAACCTTGTCAATATTACCCTATTAGAAGCAAATGTTGTCGCAAACTTCAATTTGATAGAGAAGTTGATTCCTGTAAAGCATCAACTCTGCAATATAAGTGGAGACCATATTATAATAAAGACCATTGCTGGAATAAGAATAGGTTATCACAGAGGAATGAAGTTTGATAGAGATGGTAAAAGAATTCACAGGAATTGTGATAATTGTACAGATACAAAACTAACACCTGCTCATATTTTTGTCTGTCCAGCTATTCTTGCTGCCCTACAAGAAATAGAGGCTCTGTTCTCTCGAACAAACCTCTATGTGGATAATATTGCGCAAATTGCCAGAATAGTCATCTGGGTCCAGGGTACTGTCTTATTTGGTCCCGTCATGGACACGACATCATCATCAAGATGGGGAGTCGATAAGTCAAATCAATGGAATAGTTTTGTAAAAAGCGACCTCGTTTCAAAAATGGATTATGACAATTTCTTTATCCTACATCATTAGCGTGAACGATCTCTCTTGCTTTTAGAAGACGAGAGTATAGTCCTACTTTTACCCTTTGGCCGGTTTAACTAAGCTTTTCCTATTACCATACCTTCAGTGTGAACAGGAAAGAAAATTCTTTCCATTCGCGGAAACGAAATTGACTGAACTGTCGGACTTATCGGTACAATGAAGTAGCAAAAAGTTTCTCCATTTTCAATACACAAGTAATATGTATGAAGAGCATAGCTTCCACAATATCCTTTTAGTTGGTCTACTAGTTGGGAGGAGAACATGTCTTTCGAGAGACTAAGAGACTGCCAAGAAGTATTATTAAACCACGGAAAGACCCAGGCTATTTCAATTCA